CTAATATTTGTTTCCGTTGTTGGGCCTACAATCAATGAAATAAGTAGGCAGGCACTAAGAAAATGCATCTTAATGCTTATTCTCTATATATTTATTTCTACTTCTGGGCCTGTGAACTTGATGCGACCTTTTGCTGAATTTTCCCTTTTGCACTTATGAAATATCACTGAGTAGGTTTTGTGACAAAATTCTGAAGAAGTGGAAACCATGCAAATTTCTAATTAAGAGAATCAAAGAAAAAAGACTAAAGAGCTATTAGCTTTAAAAATCAGAAGTTAAAAAAAAAAGAAAAAGCAAGGGAGATATACTAAGTGGAAGATGGTCTCTCACAGTGCTAATCTATATTATTTGGTAATCTAGGTGGTTTAATTCTTGTACAAAACCTTCAAGAAGTAAAATACAGAACAGACAAATAGCAAGAATAAATGTATACAGAATCAATTATTATTGATTGGATTATTGGAATGATTCTCATGAGAAAACATGAACAAAATACGTTGGCTTGGCTACATCCTCTGTACTTGGCCCAAATATCATGAAAGATATTTGCCACCTATAGCAAGTCTTCTGAAAGGCTTGAACACAACTGACTCAGCAGGGGGCTTTCATGCAGATGGCTTTGGGCACTGTCTGCCCAAAGACATACACTCTTTGGTAAGTAAAAAACAGGGAGAAAAATCTTGGAAGATTACAAATAGAAGACCGAGGTTTCTAGGTTTGGATCCTGTGTTATTTGTACACAGTTAAGTATTGTCTAGAAGTAACCCAAGATGGCACCCCTTTATTATTTCCTGCAAACTACATTAGGGCAAGGAAAACATTTCCTTTATTCTGTATGTGCTTGGAGATTAAAATGATCAAGAATGAAGACTGAGTGTGTGGAAAGAAACTCTTTTTGTTTAGGGCAAAGGGCATAATACGGATGAACAAGTGGCTTATGGGAAGGGGATATATTCTAATCCATATTTAATTTCAACTTCCCCTATTTAGAATTGTAAAATATATTATCAAAGCAGGAAGGAAATGTATGTCACTATAATTTAAAAGCTTGCAGACAAGTTGAACATACAGAGACGATCAATGTTTTACAGACGGCTTCATCAGAATTTTATCGGACAATGGCAACTATAAAACTCTTGCTTTAGACCATTTTCCCCTGAATTTTTGTGGAGTAACATGGGAATCTGCTCTAAACAATTTATTGAGAATTGTTCAAGTGATCCTAATGTTGATGACATTATTTTCAATTAAATATACTTCTCTGATTTAATTCTCAGAACTGTAAATTTCTAAATCGCTGCATGAGTCAGTATTTTAAGCATAGTTCCTAATTCAAAGAGAGGACTAGAGAAGCAAGACATATAAAAAGTCACCTTTTTTTCTGTGAATCAATGCTGTGTACTCACAGATTTATTTCTCATAGCACCCAACCAGTTCTCTTCTGGCTTTACATATGCCAGAAGAGATTTTTTTTTTTAGCTATTGCTTTACATGTGCCTGGAGAGATTAAAAAAAAAAAATTAAAGGAGGGAAGGAATTTCTTTTTTGTGAGTGAATAAGTTGCTGTATAAGATTTGCATTAATTGTGTCTGTGAATAATGTGAATTGAGAAAGGATTCCCACTTTGTCTAAGAAAACTGTAATAATGAATAGACTGAAGTGGAGCAGTTGATTTTCCAACCCCTCCTGATCTCCTTAAACACTTACTTGTTTCTAGAATTCAGAGTGCTATTGAATGGCTTACTTATTTCCAGGAACTGGTGTGACTTTGCAGGATCAAGGCTTTAAATGCCAATAACCGGCCAACTTCCATGAGAACAATTAATTGTATTGTATTCCCCATCCTTTAACCTACAAAAGAATCTTTAGAGAAATTGGACAATGTATCATATTTCCTGTCAATAGTCCGCTGTGCTCTAGATTATGCAATACAACAAGCAAAACTCTGCCCTACTCTATTTCTTCCAGTTAATAAAAACCAACACAATCAAATGAAAAAGGAAAGACAGAGAATAAAAATTGTATATGCATCATTAAGAAAAACAAATGTTGTTATTTATTTTTTAAACAACCCTAGTGTGACAATATTCCTTTTATGTAGTCTGGCTAATAGCAGGTTGCTGGATGTAGAAAGATATATATCTATATATGAACTATATTGCAACAATTGTAGGTTAAAATATTATGGAAAGATGGAAAATTAATACAGAGATGAAACCAAACTTACAAAAATGGATTGGAGATGTTCCAAGTTAAACATATTTCATTCAAGACAGAAACTGTTGGTTTTGATTCACCTCTTAATATTACAACAAACCCCCCCCCCAAAAAACAAAAAAAACCCAAATCTAAACCCAACCACCAAGCAAGCAAAAATATCAGCAATGTAAAAGTACCATAGCAAGTGGTCCTCTTTAAAAAACATTATTATATTACTATCTTAGGTCAAATTATGAGTATTAAATTCATGACAGCAGAAAGGCCCTTTGGTTAATCAACTCTTACTTTCTACTCTTCATCAAGGCAATGTGAAGGACTATTCAACACTGTTCACTCATCTAACTTTAGGAAGACCTTTTACAAGCTAGAACTGGCAGAGCTTGGTGTCATCTAGGATAGGAGACCTAGCAATTCAGAATGAATGGAAGCATCTGAAAAAGCACAGCACCTAACAATTTGGGGTTAGGGGAAGGAATGACCTGTTAGATTTATTATCTGTTTTCTTACTGATAGATTTGCTATCATTTAGCTTTTGAGTGAGGAACAGTTTGAAGCAGCAATAGCAGCAGAGTCCTCCATGGAAGAAACCAATCTTTATTTTGGATCAACCAAATGTTTCAGAAAATGATGTACTAGGTATAGAAGACACACTGGTACTGCTTCACACTGGGGGGGGGGGCATGGTGGTGGTGGTGGTGCAGTATTCAATATTGGCAGTGTCCTTGGCTACTCCACTGACTTGTCTGGAGACAATTTCACTCACAGCACTTAAATTTCTGTCTCCCTAAGAAGTACAATTGAAAAGCTATTCAGTTCAGTGTGCCAGAAGGCAAATCAAGCTGTTCATCCTTGTCAAGGAAACTAAAGTTAAAGTAGAAGAAATCTGCTGAACTAAAACGGTTGCGAATTGTATCTGGCCCTGTGTTCTTAAAAAGCTAAGGAAAGTCACACCAGAATCCCATCCCATAATTTTGTTAGCTGCCTGTCTAACTTTTGACGTGCTTCCTGATTATTTTAAGAAAAGATACAAGGAAAGGATCTTGGCCTCATCTGCAGGAATGTGGTCTGTCTGGGAGCTAAACTTCTTTGACCACTGAAATGATTAACTGTTCAAGATAAAACTGTTTTAAATCAGTCTGTGATAAATGTGCAATATGAGTTTAGATTAATTTGATATACTTTATAATTGCCTGTACTAAGTAGGCTAAAAATAAAAAAAATTATCATAAAAATAATTAAAAAAAACATTTAGGAATGTAGAAATAAGCTGTAGTGTTGCTATGCTATAAAAGACTAAAAGGCATGTTAGAGGGATCTAACCATGGTCCCCTTTGCAGAAACCTTATGATACAATAAGAGGCCTAATGCTTTTTTGTATTCAATAGGCAATATAATCAATTGGGTGATAATTAGAAAATAGATTGTTATCACAGAATAATTTTAAAGGCTGATTAAAAAGAAAGTATATAATACATTAGAAGGAGATAAACCCAGTACTGGCCATAATTTATAGAATATTCATTTTCGCTATTGTAACACTGGACTTCAAAGTGGCATGTTTGCCTGCAAACATTCCCTAACTCTATTGTTGCTGCTTCAACCAAACATTCATAACAAATACTCTGACAGTGCCTTAAAAAAGAACAAATATAATACTGAGAAAAACTAAGGTGATAAGTGCGAGAATCTATTATTTCAAAAATGAATAATTGTAAATGGATTGTCCAGAGGAAAAAAAATCTGTCTGTCTGTCTGATACACACACATACACACACATCCCCCTAGCTATAGGTATATGATATACCTATTCTACTATCAATAAAATGTGATGAAAAGTAGCTAAAATACTTTTTTTTAGTGGATCACAGGAGACATTAGAACCACCTCTGATAGAGGAGGACAGACTAGAATTAAGAAAAAAGCTGTTTTATAGCAGGTTGCTTTATGAGTGAAGCAAAACTGGAATAAATGTGTGCAATATGCAGAGCAAAGGCCAACACAGGTGACACATGAAATGTGCAAAAGCATTTCAGCTATCTGCTCATTAATCCTAAGTAGCAGCCAATGGGGGGTGGTGGGTACTGGGGTGTCTACAGGGGGCTTAAAAAAGTCAAGGCAACAGACACAACCAAAGCAAATTGTCTTGTAATTGTGCTATATTACTACAGACAGGGTATTAAATGCACAGGGGAACCTTCGATTTATGTAAGACAACTCACATCTGACATTTGAAGTAGTATGGGACCTACATCTGCTAGATCATTCTGCCCAGTAAGTAGATCCACTTTTAAGCACTCCGGAAAGTATTTTTGGCCATGGGTATTGCAGCCCAAAATTATTAAGTGCTGTCTCCAGCCTCTGAAAGATTGGATAATGGTAAAGGTGTCCTCAAGTCAAACTTGATTCCTGGAAACAAGAAGTCCATGTCAATGTAGCCTCATTGGCAACAATATGAAAAAAGCTTGTTATTGTATCCTGGGAAGTTTCTTCAACTTCCCAGTCTAGACTATAGCCCTAGGATTTTGTGTGTGTGTGTGTGTGTGTGTGTGTGTTAATCTATTCAATCGTGTCCAATTCTCTGAGACTG